GGGCGGCCGCGGAGCCCCTGCCGCCGGGGGGCGGGGAAGGCGCGCCCGCCTCGGCGGGGCCTGGGAGACGACGCCGGGGGGCTGCCGTGGGGAAGGCGCGGAAGGAGGTCGCCGCCCCCGCCCCGCAAGGGAAGCCGAAGTCAGGGCGGGTGTGGAAGGACCCTCGCAAGAGGAAGCGGTGAGGGAGCCCCTCGGAGGGCCGGCGGGCGCCCTGGCCGGACTGCATAGACTTTCCCTCATAGGTTCCACTTGCCTACTTCGGTCCACAAAAGAACCGGGGGTGAGGGGGGGGGGTCCCTTCCCTAAAAAGAAAGCTGGGTGGGCTTTTGTTTGCTGGTGTTAGTTTGAGCTACGCTTTTAGGACAAAGCATAAATGGCTTGTGATTTTATTTCGCGCTTCCCCCAAGGGAGCCAGGGCAGACTGCCTGGTTCTCTGTCTCTTTATGTTATCCTAGCAGCAGCCATGCCAGAGAGAAGGACCAGCCCCAGGCCTCCTAATGAGTCCTGCGGCACGGGGGAGGATTTGAGTCCCTGTCTCCCCAGTCCTGGAGCTGCGGTGGCTCAAGTGGTTCAGACGCTGAACTGCAGGCTGTGGAAGGTCAGTAGTTCAGCGGTTCAAGACCCGAGTGTGCCACATGACGGAGTGAGCTCCCGTCTCTAGTTCCAGCTCCTGCCAACCTAGCAGTTCGAAAGCAAGAAATTGCAAGTAGATAAATAGGGACCACTTTGGTGGGAAGGTAACAGCGTTCCGTGCACCTTGGTGTTTAGTCATGCCGGCCACATGACCACGGAAACGTCTTTGGACAGTGCTGGCTCTTCGGCTTTGAAACGGAGATGAGCACCACAACCCTAGAGTCGGATTCGACTGGCTTTCGAGCAAGGGAACCTTTACCTTTACCTCCCCAGTCCTAGTCTTATACCACCAGTATACCCAGCACGGGTTCTCATCCTGGGTTACATGAATTCCTGGTCCTTTTCTCCACTGATTAGCACACTAATGCTTCTGTAGTGTCTCTGCCATCATACGGGCTTCCCCTGTTGCAAACGTGTATGTTTACTCAGAAGCCCCACAATGAGACTTACAGATAAATGTGCATAGGACTGCCATTTCAGTTATGCTGTGTTGTGCTAATACTAAGAGATAACTGTTTAGTTCGAACTGCTAACGGATGTGTTTTTCTCCTCATTAGGTTTTCTCATATGATTCAGGACAAGCCTTTGCATTCCTCTTGGGAGCGCAAGATGAAGGAACGTCAGGAGAAGAAAGCAGTCAAAGATTTTGCCCGGCATCTGGAGGAACAAAAGCAGAGACAGCGCGAGGTGTGGAGGCAAACGTGATACAGAATATCCTGTTAAACGGTTATAGCTGTGTGCCTGTCACGAGTACTGAAGCAGACTATCATCATGGGTATATCCAGGTGGGCAGCCATGTTGGTCTGAAGCAGTACAACAAATTTAGAGTCCAGTGGGGCACCTTTAAGACCAACAAAGTTTTATTCAGGGTATGAGCTTTCGTGTGCAAGGCACACTTTTTCAAATACACTGGAATGGTAGATCAGGTTCAAACTTATAGACAGGGGCTGAACAGCAAATTAACATGAAACATGATAAAGATGTGCAAAGGCAAAGCTAAATAACCAGCTAAGGTTATCAGGTCAACAGCTGTAAAGTCCTCTACATATAGGACAAACCCTGTGCCAGTGGATAAATGGACACAAATCTGACATCATAAATCACAAGACTCAGAAATTTGTAGGAGAACACATCAGCCTTCCAAGACATGTAGTGGGTGACCTCAAAGTAGCTGTTTTATTCCAAAGGAACTTCAGGAACACAATGGAAAGGGAAATTGCTAAATTACAAGTTATTACAACGCTTGGAACAAAAACCTCCCCAGGACTCAACAGGGATATTGGTTTCTTATCTCATTACATATGCTAACTCATTCAGTCCTCACATATGTGTTCTCAACAAGAAAGACTATACATCCTCTGTATTTTAGTGTATTTCTTTTTCAGAATAGTATATTAGATTATTGAATGTAATGCAATGGGATGTTTTGCTGCATCCACCTCAAAAAAAGCGGGGGGGGGGGGGGGATGCTGTTAAATGACCTCTGCGCCTGAGAAGAGAGAATGGAGAGTATCAGCATTTGTCCCACAATTAGAAAAGGTTACACATTTACCTGCTATTTTGACACATTTATTGCTTTACAGCTGTTGACCTTATAACCTTAGCTGGTTATTTAGCTTTGTCTTTGCACATCTTTATCATGTTTCATGTTAATTTGCTGTTCAGCCCCTGTCTATAAGTTTGAACCTGATCTACCATTCCAGTGTATTTGAAAAAGTGTGCCTTGCACACGAAAGCTCATACCCTGAATAAAACTTTGTTGGTCTTAAAGGTGCCCCACTGGACTCTAAATGTGTTCTGTCACCATGGGTGCTAATGAAAAGTGGATCTCTTCCAGTGATACGAATAATTTGATATGCTTGGAATTAATCCTAGTTCATTGTAAAGGTGAAGGTTCCCTTGCTCGAAAGCCAGTCGAATCCGACTCTAGGGTTGCGGTGCTCATCTCCGTTACAAAGTCGAAGAGCCAGCGCTGTCCGAAGACATTTCCGTGGTCATGTGGCCGGCATGACTAAACACCAAGGCGCACGGAACGCTGTTACCTTCCCACCGAAGTGGTACCTATTTATCTACATGCAATTTATTGCTTTCGAACTGTTAGGTTGGCAGGAGCTGGAACTAGAGACGTGAGCTCACTCCGTCATGCGGCACTCCTGGGTCTCGAACTTCTGAACTACTGACCTTCCACAGCCTGCAGTTCAGCGTCTTAACCACTTGAGCCACCGCTGCTCCTTGTTCATTGTACCTTGCCTTTATCCCCAGTGGGGACCCAAAGCAGCTCACATTGTGCTCTCTGTGCATGTTTTCATTGCAGCAGTTTTATGATCGGTTAGGCTGAGAGTGGGCCACTTGCTCAAGGTCACCCAGCAGGCCTCCATGGCAGAGAGCCGATTTGAACCTGGGTCTCCCAGATCCTAGTTTGGCACATTATCTCTGTTTTCTTGATAGAATTCTGGAATGAAATTTGAGCTTATGACTTGGGAAATTGTACAAAATCCAGTATATCATTTCTCTTTTCTCATCTCAAGTGCCTAAAGATTTGTTTGTTTATTTACTCATTCCCCGCCAAAGCAAGCTCAGGGTGGCTTACACAATTAAAATCATTCATAAAACATCGTAACAAATTAAATATTAGTTTTCCTAAAGTGCTGAAACAGTATTCAAGTAAAGTGTGAGAGCAGACGTTTCAGGTTAAACAGTATTACTTAGGTGGCAGTAACCAGCTCAGTTGATCATATTATATGTGTGGTGAGCACAGGCTGTAAGTTGTGGGCCAGGGCATAGGGTCACTTCTCAGGTGTTTAACACAGCTCCTAGTTGAAGGCCTGGTGGAAGCGCTCCATCTTGCAGGCCCTGCGGAACTGTAAGAGGTCCCGCCGGGCCCTGATATCCTCCAGGAGCTCATTCCACCAGTAAGGAGCCACCGCAGAGAAGGCCCTGGCCCTGGTTATTGCCAGCCTGGCATCTTTAGGGCCTGGGAGGGCCATCCGGTTTTGGGCCCCTGAATGCAGTGCTCTCTGGGGAACGTATGGGGAAGGGCAGTCCCTTAGGTGTGCCGGACCCTGACTATAATGGGCTTTAAAGGTCAGAACCAGCACCTTGACGTGAATCTGGTAAGCTATTGGCAGCCAGTGCAGTGCTTTTAGCACAGGCTGGATGTATTCTCGCATAGAGAGACCCATCAACAGCCTGGCCGCAGCATTCTGCACTAGCTACAGCTTCCGAATTTGGGACTAGGGCAGCCACATGTAGAGAGCATTGCAGTAGTCCAATCTCAAGGTGACCATCACATGGATCACTGTTGCCAAGTCGTTGCATTCGAGGAAGGGAACCAACTGCCTAATCAGTCAAAGATGACAAAGAGCTGACTCGGCTGTGGCTGCTACCTGGGCCTCCATTGTTAACGAGGCCTCCGGGAGCACTCCCAGACTCCTAACCTCTGGCGCTGGCACCAACTGTGCCCCACCAAAGGTCGGAAGTGGGATCCCTACCCTCGGGCCATCCCAACCTCAAGCACAGGACCTCTGTATTCGTCGGATTCAATGTCAGCCTACTCAGCCTAAGCCAACCAGCCAGGGCTTGTAATGCCCAGTCTAGGTCTTCTGGTGTAGAGTCAGACTGGTCGCCCAACAACAGATAGAGCTGGGTGTCATCCGCATATTGGTGACATCCCAGCCCATGCCTCCGGGTAACCTGGGCAAGGGGGCACATGTAGATGTTGAACAGCAGTGGGGAAAGCACTGCCCCTTGAGGCACTCCCACAGGTGAGTGGATGCCTTCAGGACAGCTGCTCCCCTGGTGCCGCCCTTTGTCCCCGACCCTGAAGAAAGGATACAAGCCATTGCACAGCAAGCCCCTGAATTCCAGAGTCAGCGAGGCGGTGGATCAGTAGCTGATGGTTGACCGTGTCAAACGCTGCCGTCAGGTCCAACAGCAGCAGCATTGCTGATGCACCTCGATCCAGGTGCCTCCGGAGGTTGTCCATGAGGGTGACCAGTGCTGCCTCCATCCCATGCCCCAGGCGAAAACCGAACTGGACCGCCACGGCCCTCTCGATTAGCTTGCCGAAGTAGGGCAAGTTGGAAACTGGACGGCAGTTAGCCAATTCGGCCGGATTCAGAGATTATTTTTTCAAGAAGGGATGAACCGTGGCCTCATTAAGTGTCCCAGGGAACAGACCCTCCAAGAGGGACTTGTTGATAAACTCCCCTAGGGCACCTCGGAACCCATTGCAATCAGCTTTAACTAGCCACGATGGGCACAGATCAAGGAGACGTGTGGTGGGGCATACAGTTAAGAGCAATTTGTCAACTTCCTCTAGGCTGAGTGGATTGAAACAATCCATAACCTGACTAGAAGACGTGTATGGAGCCTCAGTTCGCGGGGAGGTTGCGGCAAAGCAACAAGACTTTATCTGCGAAATAGCTTGCAAAAGCCTCACAGCCGATGTCCAGTTCCCTAGCATTTGACCTGCCTTGTGGCAGAGTCGTCATGGACCAAATCATTCTAAACAACTGGGCTGGGCGTGAGCTCACAGACGCAGTTGAAGCTGCACAGTACTCTTCGCAACTTTGACTGCCTTCTCATAGGATCTCATAAACGTCCTTTAAGTTCAAGATAGCTTCCAGCAAAAATAAAACACATTAAAAAAATAAAAACCAAAATTTAAAATCACAACTCAGGGCTGCTATTAAACCTAACCAAATGCAGTGATATGATTGGTCTTATGTCCTTGGTCAGACACACCTCTGCTCCCTCAGTCTCTTCCCCTGCAGCACCACCACTACATCTCTGTCTAAGCCAGCTGATTCCATTAGTTCTCTGGAACTGTTCATAATTTTGTGAATGGATATTTGTGTGTTAAGCGCTGTCAAGTCACTTTCGACTTATGGCAACCCTATGAACAAATGACCTCCAAAGCATCCTGTCTTTAACCGCTTGAGGGCCTCTGTGGCTTCCTTTACTGAGTCTATCCATCTCAGGTCTTCCTCTTTTCCTGCTGCCTTCAACTTTTCCTAGCATGATTGTCTTTTCCAGGGAGTCTTGTTTTCTCATAATCTGACCAAAGCCTCAGTTTAGTCACTTTAGCTTCTAGGGAGAGTTCAGCCTTGATTTGATCTAGAACCCACCGATTTGTCTTTTTGACAGTACATGATATCCATAAAACCCTCCTCCAACAGCCCATTTCAAATGAATCAACTTTCTTCGTGCCTTCTTTCTTCATTGTCCAGCATTCACAACCATACATATTCATAGGGAGTGCAACAGTATGAATTATCTTGGTCGCTAGTGACACATCCTTATACCTCAGAACCCTTTTCTAGCTTCTCCCTGGCTCCCCTTCCCAGTCTCCCGTCCCCTCCTGGTTTCCTGGTTGCAGTCTCCCTTTTGGTTACTGATGGAGCCAAGGAATAAATAACGAGTCTTTAACAATTTCAGTTTCTTCCTCATCAGCTGTAAAGCTGTGTAATTCCCCAGTAGTCATTGTTTTTGTCTTGTTCATGGTCAACTGTAATTGTGCTTTGGTCATTTCTGCTTTAACTTTCAGTAGTCATTTCAAGCGTTCACTATTTTCTGCCAGTAATGTGGTGTCATTTGCATATCTCAAATTGTTTGTGTTCTTTCTAACAGTTTTCACTCCACCTTCATCTAAATCTAATCCAGTTTTCCATATGATGTGTTCTGTATATGGATTGAAGTGATAGGGAGATAAAATACATCCTTGTCTGATGCCTTTGCCAGTTGGAAACTCTTCTGTCCTAACAGTAGCCTCTTGCCCAGAGTACAGGTTGCTCATCAAAACAATTAGTTGTTATGGCACACCCATTTCTTTTTAAACCAACCATAGCTTTTCATGATCCACCCAGTCAAAAGCTTTGCTGTAATCTATGACACACAAGCTGATTTTCTTCTGAAATTTTTTCGTATGCTTCAGTAACCAAGGTAAATTTGCAATATGCTCTAGTGCCTCTTCCTTTTCGGAATCCAGCTTGAACATCTGGCATTTCTCATTCCATATATGGTAACAGTCTTTGTCATAAGATTTTGAGCATCACTTTACTCACACAAGAAATTAATGTGATGGTTTGTTAGTTGCTGCAGGCTTTGGTGTCCCCTGTTTTTGAAAGTGGAATGTAGATGGAGTGTTTCCTTGTTTTGTTTTCTGTATTTGTTGGCACATTTTTGTTAAGATTTTGATGGACCCTGTTTCTGTGGCTTGAAATAGCTCTACTGATATCCCATCTGCTCCTGGTGATTAGTTTCCCTTCACTTTCTAAAATGGTAGGTTCTTCAAAAGATTCTTCTTGGAAGGAATCTGTCATCCTTTCATCTCTTTTGTATAATTCTTCTGTGTATTGTGCAGTGCACATGAATGTTTCATTTTCTCCACCTACAGGAGAAAAAACAGCGACGAGAAGAGAACTTAAGACGACGACTGGAGAATGAGAGGAAAGCAGAGATTGTGCAAGTGGTGAGTCTCAGAACAGAAACTAAATTTACATCAGTCCTTGTGTGCGGTCGAGGAGAAGCACTATTACTAGTGTACAGATCATCCTTTCTCTCCTGTTCTTGGATAGAAATGACATATAATATTAATTAGCTTGCTTTGTGCACAAAAAAGTGTGTGTTGGGTCCTACCAGCTTTTTCACTGATGTTATAAAGAGAAGTGGGCCCTCTTTAACCACTCCTGAAAAGACTGCCAGGGAACATGGAATCTGTATGGACAACCATGTAGAAATAGGTCTGCAGTGAAGAAGGGAATTGTGAAAACCATTCTTGATCAGTCTTGTGCCCGTGGAAAATTTGGTAGGATCTAACCCTGTAAATATTAAGCAGCATATGTTTATCTCATTACTGTTAAAATGATTTTTTTTTTTTGGTAACCCAGTAAAACCTTTAACAGATCATGCTTCTTTGATGCTTTTAATTCAAGAGGAGTGCTCTGGTGAGATCTGCAGAGTGAACACACATAGGCACACTCTGCTTGACCTTGCTGTCCTCAGTTGATATAGATTATACTAATGTCTTTGAGGTATTTATTGTATTTATCTGCATTTCTTCATCCCATCTTCCTCCAAGGAGCTTAGAATGGCATCCATGGCTTCTCTTTCACAGTTTTATCCGCACTACACCACACTGACTCCATTTGAATTTTCAGTGGAAGTTGAGAAAAATGTATGTTGGGAATTAGTCCTGTGCCAGATTCAGGCTCCTCTGGGGGTGATGAGTTCGAGGAATGGCAGACCATCTCCCACATCAGTGGCTGCGCGCCCACACCTTTCCTCAGCTGGATATACTGTAGGCCGGAGGAGCAGCTTGTAAATTCCCACAGCCTTTGTGCTTTCTGGGCATTCTAAGGAGATGTTTTCAAAGGGGTCTCTTACATGGATTTCCCTTCCTTCCTCAGATTCGGAATCCACTGAAACTGAAGCGTGCAAAGAAGAAGCAGTTGCGCCGCATTGAGAAGCGGGACACGCTGTCTTTGCTGCAGAAACACCAGGCACAACGAAAAGCAGCCAAGGAATGAGGGGGAATGATTTATGAAAAAATAACTTCCTGGGGCAGATAGGACTGGACACTAGCCTCAGTTCACTGGGGAGCTAGGAGGCACGGCTTCTCTTGCCACTGAACCTCAGATTCTTACCAAGAAGCCTACATTGCATCCTTTGCTGAAGCCTCTTTCGTTTTTCTTGGCATTGGAGAGGCAGACTGCCACTGACTGACTTTCCGGGAGCTAAATATAATCTCTGAATCTGAGCAAAGCCTTATAGTGTTTGTCTGTAGACTTGAACTTTCAGACTGCAAAGTTGTAACTGAAAGATCCTAAATAACATGGTGGTGATTTGCAAAAATGTTCTTCGCCAGGGTAGAATAAAAAGGGGCAGTCACCTGGATCTGAAGTTTCTGAAATTATTTCTTTATCTGGTTTACAAATTGGCTGTGGTCTTTGGGTACCGGGCAACATGATGGCCTGGGCTTGTTGATCTTAGTGCTGAGGTGCAGTATCCATAGCCTTCCTCTGCTGTGCTGGCTGTTAGTTTTCAACATGATGTATCCTGGGGGGGGTGGGAAGCCAGACTTCTGTCTTTCAGTAGCTAGAAAAGCGAAGGTGTCACAAGAGCAATCAAAATTACACACTCAGCTACATTCTTTTGCATCTAATGTCAAAGGTTCCAATCCAGCTGGCCTCTTTGAGGGTGTTTATGCATGGTGGGTACTTCTGCAAAGAACAGCCAACCGTATGACAGACTCAAGAGAAGTTAACTAACATCTCTGATACTGCTCTTTTTGCCAAAAATGAAACCCTTGCTTCAGACACACACCTCTCCCTTGTTTTTTCCCTGGATTTGGATCAGTTATTTTATTTGCATGTTGTGTAACAAAATCTTCCATTTGACTGGTCAAAATCAAGGCGGCATTCACTCAGAGACAGGGTATTGTTGAAGAACTTGGCCGGCAGTAACAATTTCACTGTTGTGGACAGAAGCAGAACCACATCCAAGTTGAGACACCATTGTGTGAATAATGCATCATTGTTGAACAAATATCACTGCGGGACAGAGGAAAAACTGAGCATAATATCTTGTGTTGACATAGATTTCAGGTTATATAAGTGTTCATGCTGAATTGCAAGGAAAGAGAAATATGCAGGATTGGTTTCTAGTGCAAATTCCTGTAGCCATCTCTGAATGACACTGGCTTAAGTAAAAAACTGATGGGAGTAGCAAAGGGTGAATACATTGTCCAGGCAGGAGTTATGACCTACAAAACAAAGACTGCTTGCAGACAGGGGCATGAAAACATGGTCCTGTCACAGCAGCAGCAAGCAGGGTGGGAACAGGGTCCACTCACACTCCCATTCCTGTATCACTTACTGCTTATTGAGAGTATCTGTGTTTGGACGTTACTATTCTCGACACTATCAGCGATGTGTGCTGAGATTTCAGAAGCCAGAAGAGTCCCTAGATGGTGGGGGCAGGCTTCAGCGTCCTTGTCCTTTCCTGGACTAGCAAAATTTAACTCAAATACAACATTACAGAATAAATTACGCAAAACTAAAGAACTTTTAAAAAGTTGATATGCACAGGCTATAGAACTCTGCTTTTTCTTTCTTTCTATCTTTTGGCACAAAATTTGAATTGCCTGGGTGTAGAATTAATTATAGAATACACACTGCTGTGTCTTAAGGGCTTTACTTAAAACAGAAGCTGAGATCTTCAGGATGCTGAAATCGGCAACCAGTGCCAGTTTTCTGCACTTCAATGGAATGTGGAATGCATGCAGCAGTGCTTGTCTAGGAATAATGTTTTTCCTTAAAACTCATCACACACGGGGGCCGTGGCGACACTGTGGAAATGGCAGCTGCGTGATTTTGGAGCTCCCAACTTTGAGTCCCGCCTGGAGGAAAGCGCCTGTAACCATGCCTAAGCCTGAAATAATAGGCAAAACAGACCCAGCAAAGCATAAATCAGTTGCTACAACCCTTAAATCATCAGACACTCGAAGTGGCTTTTCAGCACTGTGCAGCGGCGTGGGCAAAAAACAAAATGATGGCCTCGGAGCAGATTTCATTGGACTCCTCTTCCTCAGTGATATTCAGCTACCTAAAATCCATGAAAGCAGGTATTTTAGAAAAGATGTCTAACCTCTCATTCCAACTCGAAGAATGATAGACTACTCTCACCCAGACAGCCCAAAAGGCTGAGGCGGCACTGGATCTGGGCCTGACAAACTAAGCAGATATTAAAGCTCTATAGGAATCCTCTGCATCCCCGAAAGACCACTTGATCACTTGAAACGGAACTGAAAGCAGCAAACCTAAAATTTAGAGGTCTGCAAGAACCAGCAGAGGAAAACAAAGACTTGATAAGCTTTATGGCCCAGTTAATTGCAAAAGCTCCAAATTTGGAAGAAGGTGTTCTTCCAATTCTTACATATGCTTCTTGCATGGGGCCTGTACCAACAAACAGTCACCCAACCCCGAGAGATGTATTAATCATTATACCAGACACAAGAATTCGTCAGAGGATCTTAGATGCAGCTAAAAAACCAGGTACTTTCCAATATGGAAAGCCCCTGCAAATATTTCCTGATATTCCCAAAGAAGCAATCACTATACGTAGAAGCTTGAAACCAATCACAACCGAACTGCAGAGTTTAAAGCAAAGATACAGATAGCTACCCTCTGGAAAATTATATGTTGCTCATCAAGGACATCGGCTTTATGCATGGGATGAAGAACGTGGACTGGATTTGCTGTATGCTCTGGAACAGGAATCTCCCACGGAACAGGAAGACAAGAAATCATTCAAGAGGAAGAGGCTCTTTCCAACTACTCCACAGAAGGCTAGTCAAATTCCAGTGCCAAGCAATGCAGGAGAATCGTGAACTTTGAAAGATAACTGAAAAGACAGATCTTCAATCAACCCATTTTCATAACTGGGACTGTTTATAAGTATGTTTGGTTTCTTGTTTATAATTTAATATGCTGAAGGGTTTTTTTTTCAAGAGTGGTTCGTTCCCTGTTTGTGTTCCCAGATGACGGAACATATTCAGTCTTCCAGAAGGATTTCTGGTAACCTGGGCTCACGTTATTCTGTGCTAATTGTGTGCAACAGTTAAAAGTTGCAGAAAGTTATTGCAGGGTATTGTGTGGGGTAGAGTTTTGGGGGTGGGGTGAGGGTTGGTTAACAGTCTTAAGATAGTACCACATTAAAAATTGTTTGTGTTTGATAGAATCTAGAAACAGTTGGTAATTATGTTAATTTTTCTCTAGAATATAGTGGTTAGCATAGTTTGAGAAATAAAAATAAAAATGGCAGATACTTACTCTATTAGAATTATTAATGTGTGAGGCCTTAATAATTTGATCAAGATAGAGAATGACTTCTTTCATCTTGAAATCAAAACCAGACATTGTATCAATGCAAGAAACTCATTTAAAACCTCGATGTAAAACTGTTCTAAGCACTAACTGGTATGATCGGCAATATCATGCGGGGGCTCCTCAAAATCTAAAGGAGTAGCAATCTTAATTTCTAAATCTGTACATTTCAAATGTGAAGATAAACTGGAAGACACGCACGGCAGATTTTTATTTCTTAAAGGTAAATTAGATCAGGAACAAGGGGTTCCGGTTTTGGTGATTCGTGGGATGTGTGCGCTCACATGTGATGTGAGTGACCCGAATCGTGGCAGATGGAAGGGGGCGTGGATGTTTCAATGCCCCCCCCCCAGAGCCCCTACAGGGGGTTTGCAGCCTGGGGTGCCAAGGGGTGCCTCTTCTGAGGCAGCGGTCGAGGAATTGAGGCGAGCAAGCGATCCTGCAATTCAATGCTCTTCCTACTTTGAAAAAAAATCGTTGGAATGAACTGTGAGCTAAGCAGAGAACCAGAGGAGACAAAATCGCAAAAAAGCTAAGACCTTCTCCAGGAAATGCTGGTTCAGTGACCTCAGCTCTTAAACCAAAAGCAGTCACTGACTTCCCAAACATGATGGCCACGGTGCTGCACCCTCTGCTGGACCAGATGACTAATGTCAATAGCAAATTAGACTGTCTCCAGAAGCAAATGATGGACACAGCCAAGAAGACAGATGAGATGAATAAAGCAATGAAACAAGTTGACAATAAGGCAAATGCTATCAAACAGCAACTGGAGGAAGTGGAGAAAGACGGATCTCCGATAAAGAGCAATTGTTACAGCTACAAATGGAAAAATCATCATACGTCCTGCGATTCCAGGGTATCCCAGAACAACAAGGGGAGAATTTAAAAGAACTTTTGAGTGAAGCATTGGCACCAATGGCAGATTTAAAATCAGATTCACTACAAAGTGATATGGATATGGTTTTCTGAACCTATCTGGATTTTATCAAGAAAATTAAATTCTCCAAAAGATCAACCAGAGATGAAATTCTAAAAGCGACAAATGGGAAACCACTGAAAATCAAAGGCAAAGGAGCAAAGATTTTAAAAGACATTCCATTTGAAATCTGAAAAAGGAGACGACAGTACAAAAATCTGAACTGCTTTTCTGCACAAGAACTCCACTCCCTTCAGATGGATATTTCCAGAAGGACTTATCTTCAACTACAACGGAAAGAAAGAGAAGATTGATTCCGTCCAAAAAGTAAAAATGCTCCTGGACCAGCAACAATCCACATCCAAAGTCCAAAGGAAAGCAGAGGCCACTGTACAAACAGAGGAAAATAGCAATCATGACTCAGAAGCCAGTGAAATTATTTTTGGAAGCTCTGCAGAAGAGTCTGATTCTGAAAAAGGAGAGGTAGATCCAAAAACACTGAAAGTCCAATTGAAATTTGATAAAGCTAAACACAGGAAATGGTGACTTTATTGAAATCCTGAAAGTCAGTCAGTCAGTCAACCTTTATTGGCATAGATAAAATATAGCATGGATCACATTTTAAAGTGCATATCAAAGTTATGTAAATATAAACAGTCAATCCTCCAGGGCTTTGACCTTATATTCTCTTACCCTCATAGCGATAGAAAGAAATCATGCTACTGAGAAAGTAATGTGAGGGTGAAGATCTAATAAAAGGAAAGATATAAGTCTCTCTTCAGATAGACTATGCTTATTGTGCAGGAGGGGGCTGATTAGAACATCCCGAATTCTATTATAAAATTCACAGCTGAGCAAGATATGAGCAATCGATTCTGGGTTCCTGCTGTTACATGGGCAGGTCCTGTTGAGGTAGGGGGTATTAGCAAATCTACCATAAAGGACCTCTGACTATAGGGCATCAAAGCGTGCTAGCATAAAAGCTCATCTTAGTGATGGTGCAGTGAGCTGTAGAAAATCAGCTTTAAGCCCATTCCTCAGAGTTATGTTAAACTTCAGAGTGGCTAAGGTAAAATGTTTCGGT